TGAGAAGGAAAGAAGTCCAGCAGTCACTTAAAACTATAAACCTCAGCATAGGCTTAAACACCCAACCTCCACTTTTTAATATCTTGACTAAAGACACGTATTGTTTGAAGTAACAAATGAATTTCAACTTGGTTTAAACTCTTCAAACTCCAAATTAGTTATGTTTGGATTCATGGGGCATTATTATGCTGGGTATGTTGAACTGGGTGAAGTACCCTTCAAAGCTGAAACTCCTAAGTGCTAACTCCAAATTTTACTTTAACCATCCATTTTCTGACTAAAACTTCAAAGAACTGAGGAGTCATAAGAATCAAAGCAGGGACTGGGGATTTAGCTCAGAGGCACAGCGCCTGCCTGGCAAGCGCGAGGTTGTAAGTTCAATTCCCAGTACCGGGGGGGGGGGGGGGGGGGGGGGGCGGAGCATAAAGCAACAGTCCACTTTAGTACACAGAACAATGGACATCAAGTTCTGAAGTTGGATCAATAAAATTAGCAGGCCTTGGGGTCTGAAGTTGGATCAATAAAATTAGCAGGTCTTTAGTGAGAAAAGAACAATGGCTGGGATGGAGAGGGAGGTCCAGCTGTTTGAAAACCTCGTCACACTGCAGAGTACCTCGAGCAAGTCTGCTGCGGTATGGGTGTTGCCCAAAGGCCCAAGTATTCAAGGCCTTGTCCCCAGCACATGGCGTTACTGGAGGGAACACTAGTAGGAGGTTCTAGGTCACTGGGGATTGCCTCCTAAGGTGACTGGTCTTTTTTGTCTTTTGCTCTTTGGCCACCATGAGGTGGAGCCGCTTTGCTCTACAACACGCTCCCTGGCCGTATGCTGCCTTGCCACAGGCCCAAAAGCAATGGGACCGATTGTGGACTGAAACTGTGAACCGAAATAAACCTTCCTCTTTTTGACTATCTCAGGTATTTTGTTACAGTGACAAAAAGCTATTACATTTGCCTTGCAGCTCTTCACATGAAAACATGCTGATTTACAATGCAAGATGCATTTGCTCTAGAACATTTGGTGACAATGATCTCTAATGAACTGCCCTTTTCTCTCTACTGGAAATTTAAACAAAAACCCAAAAACTGTACCAGTGATCCCCAAAGGTAAAACTTGGCAAGGTGGTGATGATGTTGCTACATCCCATGCTTCCTGGACTGTATCATTAGTGTCCAGGTTACCTGGGTCAATATTGCCACTGGTTCCACTCTGGCCTTCTGTTTTCCATACGTCCTTGTGGGATGTTATTATGTTTGCCTTAGTTACTTTTCTCATTGCCAAGACAAAATAAGGTAAAGGAGGAAAGGTTTATTTAGCTCAGAGTTTGTCGAGCTTTCAGTCCACAATTGGCTGGCTCCAAGGCGGGGTGGCACGGCGAGGGGCATCACAGAGGAGAACTAGTTCATGGCAAGCAGAAGACAGCAAAACAAGCAAGCGACAACCACAGCTCTTTCTATCTCTTACATTATATGCAGGATTCTGGGATTTGGACAGTCCCAAAACAATCAGTGGACTGATTTAGTAATCACCCACCCTTAATTCTAGCACCCTTAATCCTAGCATTGCACCATGAATGAATCACACACTCTAGATCCAGCCACCTCTGAAAAAGCCCCACCTACAACGGCATGGGGCTTTGTGGGGACACCTAGACACAGCCATCACAATGCTCAGCTATCATGCACTGTGCAGGTTTTCAGTCATTCACACAGTTCAGGAATGACTCTAATCAAACACTGATGGTAAAACATAACTCCAACAGTAGTGGCTAACTGCAGAAGGGAACAGAGAGGAGTGACAGCCACCATACCAGCACCAGCACCTGAAGTATGACACAGAAGAGGGCACAGTGACTGGTCAAGCTGAGGCTTAGAAAGTTCAAGGGCAACTCACAAGTGAACAGAAACAAATCCACAAGTCAGTGGAAGGAAACACAAGGCACAGAGACGCAGAGCACGTTGGAAGAGTGACCTAAGACGGAGGAAGCAATGCAACAGTCAAAATAATATACAGGGTAAATCTGGCAAACGAAGACATTCTAAGTCAATATAAAGCTTCTGTTTATATGTCTTTTATACATCTATCAATTGTATAATGAGAACTTATATCATTAGAAAGTTGAAAAAAGAAGTCATAAATTGGGAGAAGATATTTGTACCACATATAATCCACTAGCTACAACATAAATTATTCTTTATAGCATAAAGAATTTCTATAAATCACTAGGAGAAATACAATTAGCCCATGAGAAAAGGGTTCAGCAGGCAGCTTACCACAGAGGGTAGCCGACTGATTAGTAAACATGTGGAAAGGTAAGTGACTTCAGCAGTAACTGAGAAGAAGCAAAATGAAACCAGCATGAGATGCCACTTCACTCCCTCCAGTCTGACAAAATCAAGTGTCACGCTGACAGGGTATGTCCTGGGTATCAGGATAATGGCATTTTAACTTTGTGATCTTCCTCACGTATGCCCACAAGAAAAATCAGCAAATCCTAATAGAGAGCAACCCACAATGCATTACATATCAGCACTCTTCAGCATTGAACTGTCAAGGTGTTTATCAGTGAGGAAAATCTGAGAAAATGGCCTAAAAGGAGCCTAAGGAACCATGATGATGAAATGTAACGTGCTGTCCCAGGAACAGAAAAAGGACAATAGGCCTAGATTTGCTCTTTGGAATACCTTGAGCTCTTCAGGAGCTGAAGAATCTGATATTTATGATCCAGTTGATTTAAAATAAGCATGTGAGTGTTGTGCTGGAGATGGATCCAGGGCCTTAGGTATGCTAAAATGTGCTCTAGTGCTGAGCTGCACCCATAGTCTATTGTCTAGTTTAAAAGACTACAGATGAGGTCACTGAGCAGCTACCTGGCAAGCTTTTTCTTGTCTTCCTAGCTACATTTGACAGTAACACTACAATAAAACCTTGAAAAGGCTTCAAAAAACACTTGCCCAGAGATATTCATAAAGTTTCCCAAACAAATGAGGGTGAGTCAAATCAGCTTGCTGTAAACACAAAGGGTAGGATGTATAGAACAGCAAGAAAGAGTGGGGAAGGCGGCTGCAGGGCCAGTTCAGGGCGCTTGCTCTGTTGTACCAAGCTACCTCCCCTTATCCTATAGACAATGTGCAAACTCTTAGGAGTTAGTTTTAAAGGTGAGGTTTACAAAAGTGACTCTGATGGACGGAAAGCTGATGGAAAGGCAAAGGCTTGGGAAAACACACTTCATCTCTGGAGGTGTTGAGATTTGGTCCTTAAAAGTAACAGGATATTCAGTCCACAGGGCATCGTGGTAGTCTAAATTGCAAGACGGCAGTCAAACATGGTACTTAACTATGGCAGTAATTAGACAGCAAGTGATGGGCCAGAATTAATGCAAACATATAGGCCTACTGAGGTTCATCAGAGAGCAGAGATCAGTCAAGTTACACCTCCAAGCATGGGAGCAACACAAACCTGCAGAGAAGGGAGGGCATTACCGTCTGAGGAAAGCCTATAAGCATCTCCTGGGGGATGGAACTGGAGGGGAGGGGTCTGAGGATCCTGCTGGAGCCATCTGCACATGAGTTGGACCACAAAGACCACGGTTTGAGCTTACTTTATTAGGACAGTAGAAGGCAACTGCATGCATTGCATGTGTGCTCCTGAGGCTCCGGGAGGGTCTCTAGCATGCTAGGCAAACATGCTACCACTAAGCTACACCCCAGAGCCTCTTTTCATTATTTTTTTTAAGTATAGGTAATTTCTTTTTTTTTTAATGACAAGTAATGATCAAGGCAATAGGAAGAACATAAACTACAACAATGGAACAACCTGACGTGGCAAATAGGGTGACAGTGAAGAGGGAATGGGAACAGTGACATTCAACTGGAATGTAAGGTGAGCCACTTGGCAATTTAAAATGACCTAGTAGTCACACTAGAAAAAGTAAAAATAAACTGGTGAAGTTGTTTTTAAGAGTATCTTTCATATGACCCAATATATCCAAGATAGGACATGTGCTTCCATATGTAGCACAGGTCACATTTCAGGGACCCACTGGACAGTGCAGAGCTGGAGGTAAAGTGCCAGGAGTCAGCACCAACTCTATCACACCTGTTCTGCCTACAGAAGTGAGAGTAAGAAGGTGGACTGCCTGAGACCCTCCAATGCCAGTTCCTTGACAAAGTCAGGACTGGCAGTGGGTACCCGCAACGCAGGGACTGCATAGGATGGGTGTGCGGCCTCTCTCTCTACTCTATAAGTCATAGTTTCCCAGATATTCACTGTGCTATTGATAAAGGACGGTCGGGAACCTGAAGGATCAGAACTGAGAGTAGTTAAGGAATCAGAGCCGAGGATGAAAGGCACCCTCCAGAGTTGAAAGGGGAAGTAAAAGCCACCACAGAGATTTGTGTCAGTCCCCTACCTCCTGTGTGGCGATGTTCACCCACTGGAATGGGAGGGGAGCGCCGTGCAAACCTCAGTGTGTGGGAAAACACTGGGTGAAGGCCCTGTGTGTGCTGCACTGGCTCTAGATGGAGATATTGTAGATGTGGGGCCTGTTGTCCAGTAGACAACTGAACAATTCTGTGAAAAATTATACCCAGTCAAGGACACCTAGTGATTGATCTTTCTGCTACCTTTAATGTGCTTTAGAAAAAGTTGCTTTCTTGCTAGGATTGCAGCCGGACAGTCGGTCAACCATGTCTGAATCTGTAACCAAAACAGAAACCGCATTGTATCTAAGCAAAAACTGTTTAACTTGCCCAATTTCATATGTAATTGCAAAAGTATATAATAAAGCAAAAAACATTTCTCTGTGTTAGAGGAGCCCTGCTCCCCTGGCCCACCAGAAGGACCTCTGCAGGAATCTCCTGGGCCTGCTGCAGCCGGACTGAGGCAGTGGATTTGTGACCACAATGTTTCAATCTTGGTATGCTGCAAGGATAGTGCTACTGTCTGATGAACAAAAATAAAGATCATGGATCAATATGCTTTTCAAGAAAAGACAAGCCACTGTTATGGAAAGATGACTTTTATTTCCACTCTGAATGATTATCACACCATTATTTAAACACATCTGAAAAAAATCCTGAAATAATTTAAACAGAAGGCACAGAACAAATCAAAATATTTAACTGTAAGAATGTGAGAAAATTCAAACATTTCAACAGTAATAATAAATTATGAACAAGTCTCCGTCACTAAATATCATTCTGACCAAAAGCTATAGTCTTTCCTCATAAACTATTGTGTTGGCTGATTCTCAAATTTCCATGATAAAAATACTGTAAAGAAAATTCTTTCAAAACACTCATTAGACCACCAGGCTCAATGTATTTTATATATGACAAAGTAGCAGTTATGATATTTTTTGATGGATGGCCAGGCCCAAAAGAAATGACACAGTCTTACAAATTAAAAAAAAAAATAGCCATGTTAGTTACAAAATTCTATTTGGGGAGCAGGGAAAGGACTTGTTCCATGTCAATTAGAGTATCAAAGCACTTCAATATCAAATTGCTTCAAAAGCCAATCTTCACGTAACAGTAATATACTGCATGGGGCATTCCACTGTATCTGGGTTAAGTACTGACCACACAGTGTTGCTACAGGGTCCATTAAGTCAGTAGCAATTACTGCTGCCAATTCTTACTTATTCCGAAGAGATATGTTTTTACAAAGCAGTATAAAACTAACTGGAATAATCAATAACATGCTACAGATATAATAAACCCCAGTAATGAGTTTGAAAATGAAGTGGTCATGCTCCATAATATACTGTAGTATCTGAAATACATTCTGTGATCATCAACACCATTTATTACAGAGGTCACTTGTAAATTAGCTCAGATTCTGAACTAGGTTTCTAAGTGAAACTTTTTTTTTCAAGTATGCATAATATTAGTAAAGATATTTTTCTTAACTCACTTCCTTATGTGTTCAGAGGACAACTGTGTTGAGTAAGGGATGAGATACTTTTCAAAAATATTTAAAAAATATGAAATAGTCCAGTGACCAAGATTGGACCAAAAGATATTAACATCTAAAACCTACTACTTTAGACTTTAAAAAAACAACAAAAAACCAGAGCTTTTCAGTCCTTTTCTTGAAACAAGTTTGTAAGAATAATGGGACAACTAAGGGTTCTAAAACACTCAAAAGGTTCCTATTTCAATAAAATAAAAAGGTCTTCTTTCTACTTAACTGTGATATATACGTGTATTTAATAGCAATGTGGTTTTATCTTTATCATCTAGCTTAATTGCATAAATCACAAAAACATTTCCAGACAAGATTGCCAATAAATATAATACAAACTCTAGAAATGATTTTTAGCAAAAACAGCTTCAAAAATTTCCTACATAGCAAAATGTCCCTTTGGAAATGAATCTTTAATGCCTTTGGACTGTTCCAGTGAGTGTGGCTTTACCCACTCCTGCACTAGGGTATAATAACCACCCAACTCCTTTGTCCCTGGGTAATAGATCGCATTAGCTTTTATTCTCTACACTTCTAATAAAGGTACATTATTTTAAAAGAAACTTTCGTGCTGTCAGCTCACATCTTTATCATCTAGCAGAAATAAGATAAACCAGAAAATCACTTTCTAAACAGTATAAAGTGTTGAAATGTTGGCACCAATGAAAAACGAGCGATGGTTATCACTCAAATTTAAAATGTATCCGTTCATGTCACTGCCTGTGACAGCAGCACCAAATGCTGCTGTCTGTGTCTGCACTGACATCGGGCTTGCGGGGACATATAACGCGTTTTATGATTCAGTTACTGGAAACAAAGCACCACCACTTTAATCCAGCTGGCCGGGTCACTGTTTGGGTGGGCTGCATTCATTACTCTAGGCCTGAGAGTCTGGATTCTGAAAACATAAACTCAGGGTTAGTGGAAGACTGTCTCCAAGCTGAAAGAAGTGTAGCTAACTTTTGGAAAATAAAAATAAAAAGATAATCTTAGCTGTTTTGGGCCCTTGGTCTACGAGCTGTGCCAGTATTTCCTAACACAATGCAACCAAAGGCTTTCCTTTAGAAAACCTAGAAAGGAAGAAGGAAGACCAAAAACTAATTTCAAAAATCTACACAAGGCTGCCAGGCCAACAAATAACGGTCAGGGTGACTTTGTTCCTCTGTTCTTTTAACATGGGAACCAGCGCAGAATGGCTCATACCCACAGTGGACAGGCCATTGACAGCGACAATCATGTCTCCACATCTGGACAAAGACAAACAGAAACAGAAGCGGAACGTTACTACGTTAGCAGTTTTAAAAACATTACGCCAAGTGCTTAGCATGAAAGGCACAGTTTTACCTGCCAATTTACTATCAGTGAAGATGTACTCACTATTCTCAGAGACAATTACTAAGCCTACACTGGCTTTTCCTCGCCAATCAGGAATATGCCTGCACCAGTTCTCCCATAACTGGTAGGCAAACTTCAGGGACAAGCAGATTAACTTTCAAGGCAAGAGATAACTAGGTGAGTCAATCTGCTCTTTCCTTAAAAAGCATTAAATATCTGGGGATGCAGGTGAGGGGTAGAGCCCTTGCTTAGCGTTGTACAAGACTCCAGGTTCAGTTGCTACTACTGCAAAAGTAAATCAGCTGTGAGATAAGGCATGTGTACAGTGTTGGCTGCTGCTGCTATTACTATTATTTGTAGCACTGGGGATTGAACCCAGGGCTGTATACATGCTAGCCAAATGTTCTACTACCGAGTTATACCCCTCAGCCTGCTGGTCATTATTCTATTATTTCTGCATTCATTCTTAGAGCTCCTACATCTGACAGTAAAATTGAGAATAAGCCTCATCCTTCCTTTCAGCTAGCAGTACAAGCAGAACTATCAGAAGTGCGTGATGAATGTGAGAACCCTTCTGTCCTTATAACTTTCAAAATTATTACGGGTTTTGGTCATTAGTTTACAACATGAACGAGTATGCTATTTTAGTGTTAGCCACTCTAATCTCATTTTGTAAGTAGCCGACATGCAAATTACTAAACTAATGAACTGAGGCTTGGCTGGTAACTCAGCTAACAGAATATTTATTCATTCTATTATAATGACTTTTTTCATATTTATCAAGACAGACTGATCTGAAGCATACTCCTGATGAACTTTTAGTGGTGCTGTTTAGGTGTCACTTTCTCTTCGTAGACAGTGCCATCTCTCCATGTGTGCAGCATTTCTTTCTAGTATGTTGACGTCTACTTTTTAAAGAAGTGGTTCTTCCATGTAGGCACTAAAAATTACAATCAATCACTTCTTCCCTGTTGGTGACAATCCCTTGACACACCTCTTTCTTCTGGTGCCTGAGCTTTGAAATAAAGAGGTCGTGTGCTGGCTGAGTGCATGGTGTATAGCGGTGGCAGTCAGCAGAAGGCTTAGTGGCCAGGGCTCCAAGCCAGACAGTCCTGGGTTTGAGTGCCAATCAAACTTTCAGCTATTTGAACTTGGGCAAGTTTCTTAGCCTTTCTGAGCCTTAGCTATCTTGTGTGTAAAAGAGAAATACTGTAATAACACATTTACCTCATAAAATTAAGAAGATTATATAATGCATGTATCTCCTGGCACTGTGCCTGGCATATGATAATCTATTGTACACTCATTCATTCATCAAACATTTATTGAGATTTTACTATATCTCTGTTATGGCAGTCAGGGATACAACAGCAAATGCAATAAAATCCCTCCCTCGTGGAGCCTGTATAAATACAATGTCAGGTAGAGATCAGTGCTATGGAGAAAAGTTAAGTAGGATCATCGAGTGGCAAGACTGAACCTGAGGAGGTAGTACAGGAAAACTGCTCTGAGCTCACTGTCATGTTATCGTGTATCCAATAAAATGACTCAGTTCAGTTCTGGTCACCAGATAAATAAAATATGTCTGTAAGTAACAAGATGGCAAAACTAATGCTTAGTCTAGGTCAGGAGTTGGCAAACTATTTCTATAAGAAGCCAGGCAGCAGGTATCTTAGGCTCTGTGAACCACACAGTCTCTGCCAGGACAGCTCAAACCTGTGCAGCAGCAGCCACAGAGTGAACGAGCACGGCTGCATCGCAATAAAACTTCACCTACAAAAGCAGACCACAGGCTGGACAGGTGACCCCCGAGTTGGAGCGTGTGCAGCGTATCAAACCTAAGTCACATTATAACAAGGACAAGACTCACTTTAACCTTCCATCGTAGTAAGCAGGAGTTCCCAAGACAATGGTTTTAATGAAGAAAGGCTGATTGGTGTGGTTCTCTTCATATCCACCAACGATACTGAAGCCCCAGCTTCCCAAGTAGCTCCTTCGTAAAACTATATCATGGCAGCTATGAAGGGCACTGCGAACAAACACAAAAAGGAAGAGAAAAACATGGAGGCTTTCATAACCTGGTCATCGATGCTATAACGTCCCAACACATACACCTACCATTCTTGGAGACAGAGAGAGAGGGCTGCTCTATTTCCATTTGACATTATTATTACTGTTGTGACTGTTACTGGCGCTGGGGATGGAAGCAGTGGACGGAACCGCTAGGCAAGTGCTTTATTGCGGAGCTGGACCTCCTAGCCTGACTGTTCCCGACGATCCATAGGCCTAGGAGGACTTGTATTTCTCTTTTTCTAGTCTCTTCCCAAGTGAAGACATACACATAAACAGACACAAGCAGGAAGCGTAAATAAAGCTGGTTTCAGAAGAAAGGTCAGAAAGTGTGTAAAAACCATGAGCTGATAATGTGTGCACAGCATTGCCAGTAACACCTTCCTTTCTAATAAACATTTGTATCTGTAGGAGAAATTACCAAGTGATATGCAAGAGGGCTAGTGCTGCTGCTTTCAGCATCCAAACCAAAGAAAATGACCAGGAGTGTGGCTTTCCAAAACAAGGTAGAAGCTGGTGGTGTAGCTTAGTGGTGCAGCACTTCCCAGCATTCTTACTACCCTGGGTTCCGTCCCTAGCACTACAAATAATTAACTAAATAAACAGTTGCAAAATGATTTGCAAAAGTATCTTTTTAGTAATAGTTTTTCATTATTAAGTGAAATTAGACCTATTGACAATCTAAGAAAAAACTTCCTGTTTTTAATCTATTAAAAAAAAGATTTAAGAATGCCAACTCTGGGCAGGGGATACAGCTCAGCAATACAGCACCTGCCTGGCAAGCTCGAGATCGTGAGTTTGATTCCTGGTACCAGAAAAAAGAAAAAACAATGCTGACTCTGTAAAGCAATATGTATTTGTGTTTTAGTTTCTGAGTTCACGAATGAGAAGGGACTTGTAGGGAAGCTTCTGGGGTGGACCAAGGTCCCACACACTGGCCTGGATGTTTATTTTTTTATTTTTATTTTTAATTATTTTAAAGAGTCAAAGAAGGATAACATAGTAATAGGGGGGCTTACCGAATTACAGACAAAGTGGTAGGAAATTATCAATGGTTGCTGTTTTACATATTGTTATCTACAAGATAGTTTCTCAGGAAAACAGACAAATAATAGTGAGTTATAGACAAAAGTGGTAGGAGATCATCAGTGGTTGTTGTACTATACTTTGGTATCTTCACAGTGGTTTCTAAAGAAAATAAATAGAGCTATACATGAGTGACCAATTGAATATTCATTGACTCTTCTCAATGGTTGTTGTAGGAAACACACTAATACACATATATCCATTTACAAAATAGCATAGGAACAATACAAACATTACAGAGTGATGGACAGACTAGTAGGAAAATATTAATGGCTGCTGTAATACATGGGAGTACCTTCAAAGTGGTTTCTCAGGAAGACAGAGATAATGCAAGAAAGAGCTAACAAGTAGTTATTAAAATAGCATATTACCGCCTCACCAGTGACTCCTTTCACTGAGGTGTGACGGCTGGAAGGAAGGCCAGGATTGAAAAGAAGGACCGAGAGACTTGCACCTGTGTCTAGCAACAGGCTGTTTTGGCCTGGATGTGTAGAAACAGTTATTTTAGTTATTCTGAATCTTCTGCAAAGGGAAGGAGAACAGTCATTCCCCTTTCAGGCTAATGTGCAGGTGGGAAGTCCTGATGGTGGCCACCTGGCCTCAGAGCAGGACACGTGGCTCTTGGATGTAAGTGCACACAACCGAGACCTCTGTCACACAACAGTGGCCTCTTGCTGACCAATCTTCTTTCAGAAGAGGTGGGGCTCCAAGTCAGGTTTTACAACACTGCTATTTCTCACCTAACACTGTTCTTACTCTGCCCAGCACAGCAGACAACCAAGTGCACAAAGATATGAACCCCTAAATTAGACTGGCTTTAATAAATGAGGAGGACTGACGGATGCTCTATGGCTACTTCTCCAGGATGTGGCTGCCCTTCTGCCACCAGGAGAGGGACAGTGGCCTTGCTGAGCTCATGAGCAACTGCAAAGGCGTACAGCGGCCGCGGGTGCTGCCTTTCCAGCTTTACAGTGGCAGGCCCGGGCCCAAGTGCCAGGTGGAGAACGGAACAAAACACATGAGGCTCCTCTGAAGCCTGGAACCTCCCACTTTAGTATAGCTCTGTAGGAGTTTAACAGCAACCATTTAACCCATATTTATGTTTCAGTGAAAAGAAAAATTCAGTTTGGATGTATGGAATAAACATGTATGACACAGTTAAATCATCTCTGCGGCAAAGAAAAGAAAAAAAAATCCCAAAACCCAAAAACCTCTTCTCAGGTCCCTACATGTCTGAGACATTAATTCTATTCTAGTCTACACTTACCCCACCACTGTGGGTAAGTTAACTGTTACAGACCGACAAGGGTGCAAGTATGACTACTCCAGTAAACAACAACAAAATTATCGTATCAGTACCTTGGAAGCCCAAGCCACATGATCCATGACGGGGACCAACTTGCATCATATTCATTTTCACTGAAAGTACTCGGCAGCTCCTCTGAGGTCTGAGTGGCTTCCTCGACAATCTGGACCTCTAGTGCTTTCAGGGCGACAGCCGGGGAAGCAGCGCTGGCCTTCAGCATAGCAACAGCCTCACTGTGACTCAAGTTGGTCAAGTCAATGCCGTTGATATTCAGCAACACATCACCTGTTCAAGCGAAGAAACCAGAAAACTGACCTCTGCCACCAAGGGACTATTTCCCTACAATTCTTGTTTACAAACTCATCAACAAACACTAGTTCCAGTAACTCAGGTAAGGAGAAAGACCTTTTAAAAAAATCTCTATAAATTTAAAAACTGTAAAAAACAAGTCCAATCATGGAAGACACACTGAAACAATTCATAACTTAAAACAATGCCATAATATCGAGCAAGAAGTGTGACTTGGGGTACACTGATCCAACTGGAAGACCGAACCATGAGCTCGAGTTTGGCTGTGTTCAGATCCCAGGCACGTTCACTTCTCTGCTGTGAGCCTCACAGGTTTCTATAGTTCTTCCCAGTTCAAAAACCATCTGATTCTTTGCTCTTTTTACTACTGTCTATTCCACACTTACACAGCTTTATACATAAAGATAGCGTTGAACAGTCCAATAGCACCCTTATCCATGGGTATACAATGAGATGAAACTTGTGACTGGAACACCTTCCTTACTTAAGGGAGAAAAGATGTGTTCCTCTCCCAAGTAATATACTGAAATGGAGATTAGATAAAAGGTTAGGACAGAAAGGATTAGCTTTGGGGGAAGCAGGTACTGCATAATAAAGCCCATAGAATTTGTAATTTTCCGAATTTATCATCTATTTTTTGGATTATTAAAGCAAAACAGTCTCACTGAAGAAAACATATAAAGTAACAGGAAGGAAGTAAAATTATCCCAGATTCTACAACTGAGAAAAAACCTTTTTTAAAAGACAGCAGCCTCATTGAGATATAATTCATATGTCACTTGATTCATTCAATTTAAAATATATAATCCTATGGTTGTTAGTATGTTCAGAGTTATACAGACATCAACACAACCATGTATAGAACATTGTTATCACCCCCTCAAAAACCACGCATCCATTTACAGTCATTTCCCTTACCCCACCCCTGAGCAACAACCACTCACCTACTTTCAGTCTCTTATTGGTTTATCTATTCTGGATGTTTCATAAAATGAAGACTTTCACTTAGCATGATGTCTTCAAAAATCATAAATGATACTGTATATTGTGTCAATACTTTACTCCTTTTTATGGTCAAATAATATTTCATTTGTATGGACAGACCGCATTCTGTTGGTCAGTTCACCAGTAAATGAACATTTGGGTTGTTTCCATTTTTGGGCTATTGAGAATAATGCTGCTATCAACATGGATGTACTAGTTTTTATGTAGATACATTTTTCATTTCTTTAGGAGTAGAACTGCTGGGTCATATGGTTTAGATCTTGGAGGAATTACCAAACTGTTTCCCGTAACAGTTGCACTGCTTTGTATTCCCACCATGAAATGAGGATTTCATGTTTCTCCATATCCTTGCTAACGCTGTTCATGTCTGTCTTTCTTATTATAGTCGTCCTAGTGGGTATGAGGTGATATCTCACTGCAGTTTTGATTCCTATTTCTCTAATAACCAATGGTGTTGAGCAGCTTTTCAGGATTTTTGGCCATTTGTTCATCTTCTTTGGAGAAGTGTCTAGTTAGATTTTTTGTCATCTTTAAATAGGGTTATTGGTATTTTTACATGCTGAGTTGTAAAAGTTCTCTATATATTCTCGATTTGAGTCATCTCATCTTTTTGTAGCACAGAGTTTTAATTTTGATGAAGTCCAGCTTCTCTGTTTCTTCTGTACTTGTGCTTGTGTGTGGTATCTAAGAAACCACTGCCTAATTCAAGGTCATGAGGATTTACACCTGTGTTCTCCTCCAGAGTTTTAGCTTTTACATTTATGTACTGAAATTCATTACGGGTTAACTTTTTTATGTGGTGTGAGGTAGGAGCTCAACTTAATTCTTGGAAAAGTAACTTGTAAGGCTCAAATTTCTTTCCATATGAACAAAGTAGGTCAAAAGACAGTGCAATTTTTACTATGGGAATTGTGGCTAACTGTACACTCCCTCCTATGCAAACTATACAGCACTGAACGGGAATGTAAATGGTGAATGAGTTTATTCCTAGTATCAGGTTTGTCCTCTGCCCCAACTACTTTCTGAGTCTCCTTCTGCATAGACATTTATAAACAACATTTGTATTTTAGCAAGACGGCTCTTTAGAGTAGAGTACCTGCCATAACTGCATAAGCTTAAGTCTCTCAGAGGATCTTTTCCAAAATAAAAATAAACTAAGAGTCTGAGTAACTGTGTGAAAATTCTGGAACCATCATCACAGTTCCGCAATTTTGTTTTACACTGGGTATTTTCTTAACCTTATAGAAAGATGTTATGTTTTCACAAGCAAGGGACATTTTATAGAATTTTGAAAAACATGTTTAATAGGAAAACCTGTAAATACTCTAAAATGTAAGCCTAATGCAGGGATGAGAGGTGGCAGAATTACTCATAATTCTATCTTACCTCTCTTAATTCTGCCATCTCGTGCGAGGCAGCCGTGAGGCGGCACGCTGGTCACAAAGATGGGCAGCTCACCACTCTTACTTCCTCTGCCTCCAGCGACTGTCATTCCAAGCGATTCGTGTGGTTCCTTCTTTACAGTAATATGCTTTTCTTGGCATGTAACACATTGAGTAAGATCCTAAAGCACAAAAGGAAAAAAACAGGGGGTAATGAATAATATACAGCTGAGGCAAACACAGCTTGAGCTAAGGTGATAACTAATGTAGTATGTTCTATTTTCTTTTTTTTTATATTCCTTACTAAAGACTGAAAGTAATAGTTCTTGATAGTAGAACTGTATATCTTGTCTAACTTTGGACTACTGCATTTTCAAATGACTATTCATATGATTATATTTTGGAACAGAAACAAATTTAGAACTATCGACATGGAAGTCAAAGTAAAATAAACACATCATTTGTTTAATTATTTTGAGCTCCAAAATATGAGCAATTCTGTTAAAGTAAATAATATTTTTGAGTTTTAAGTCTCTAAAGACATCAATTTTTAGCCCTATCTTTTCCCCAATTCTTTGAAGGAAAAGTTAACAGTACAAAAGTGTGAATTTTGCTAACTGCCAGAAAAAAGTCATAGCTCTCTTTTTGATTCTTACTGACAAGCATTTCATATGCTCAGTCACGAAGCCAGTGAAAATCTACTTCTAAAACCTCCATGAAAAGCTGAAAGTACATGCAATAACCAAATTTTTGAAAAAGATAATGATACGAAAATGAATAAACAACAAAGTAATATTCTCAGAGAAAAACTACTTTTACTAACATTTGCTACTATTACTAATTTTTGAGACACTCCCAGAAGAAAAAGAGAATTTATTTATTTTTAAGAAAGAGAATTTAAAACATCATTTTCCTTTCGAATTAGAATTTAGTAACAAGATATACGTATGCAAATTAACAGTAAAATCACAATAATTAACATTCATTGGTTTCACATATACAACACTAATGATTTGGTTGCATTATTTCACTTGATCCTTGCAAAGTGCTGAAAGAAAATACTATTATTGGTTCCATTTTATTGATGTGGAAACAAACTCAAAGAGGTCATATAATCCACCTCAAATCATGTAATTAAAAGTGATCCTGTTAGAACTTGAAATTCATACGTTAAAAGACATTAGCTGAGTACGATGTTTACATCTGTAGATCCCAGCACTCGGGGAGGCTGATGAAGCAACATCGAGTTTGAACTCACCTTGGGCAACTCAAAAATTAAAGAAAAGGGTTGAAGATGTACTCAGTGTAAAGGCCCTACACCCACTTTCCAATACAGTATGATGCACTATATGTACATATGGTATATGTACCCATTCAGGCGGTAAGTATAACAGTGGCAGCTAATGTCTCAAAAGGTACTAACGTTCACCATCTGTTTACAGAATGTTGGAGATAATTACTAACAATATTGAAAACAGAAATACATGAATTATAAGTGCTGCTCACTAACTCATTGTGCCACTGGAGCTCTAGAAATACACAAATTATATTTATAAATTATAATAATATTTTCTTTAATGACATTAAAAAGCTGACATGCATTTCTCTGTTAATAATGATATTTATCAACTTTCTAAAGTAGGCCCTATCTACCTTCTCAGGACCTGTAATCCACATATGCTTTAAGTTTTATCAAAGGAATGACTTACACTTTTTGTTTGTTTAGTGCTGGGGACTGAACCCAGGGTCTCTCATATGCTAGGCAAGCACCCTACCACTGAGCTATATCACCTCTTCTACTTCCTAAAAAAGTTCTGTTCTGGCTCTGCAAACTTGTCAGCATCTTAAATCTTCTAGCTAAAAATATGAATGCATGTTAGTATCCTTTAAAATCGAGCAAACACAACCTCATGAAAACAACTTGGGGAAATAGTCACGAGTACACGTACTTAAGCAGTTTCGGTCTTTAGGTATTTACAATGTAAGATGGTTGTTTTATTGCTCTATACACGATAAATACATGCAATTTTCCCTCAGGAATCAAACCAAACTTCAGAGATTACACTCAGTATGTTTCAAGGAACTAAGGGTCAATACCATACAAATGTTTATTAAAGCAACTACTGAGAGGTACAGTGGTGAATTAATATATACTGTACGTAATTTTTAATGATTATAACCACTGAGTGGACTGTTTTGGTGAATTGTGTTTGTTTCCCCTGGGAGACTTTATTCTAATTAATCAAGATCGGACATAACAAATGCAGTCTGTCAGCAGTAAACAGCTAAATTAATACATTCCATCCCATGGGGTTGTTCTACTAGGCTTTGCAAAGTACCTAGAATAAGAGTGAAGTTAGTACTGCTCTTTAAAACATTGTTACATAAAATTAAAGGAAGAATTAGCAAAGTTATGACAGAAAAACAAGTGCACAAAATAAAAAATATGCAGAATTCTCTATATGATTATCAGAATGATTAAGTATAAGTTGTAAATTGTCTTAAAACTACAATGCTGCCAGACATCCATGTCTCAAATTACTATTAAATTCAATGACATAAAAGATTCAATTATCATTTTTGGCCCTATTTTAAAATTATTTTAATATATATATTATTTACACATACATAAAAAGCTTATAAAGAACTAGATATATGAAACAATTCAAAACCCTTTTTCAAAACAGTAACTCCTTTTACAGAGTTGTTATTATAAAGGCAAAATTATAGGCTTCCTTCTTACACTTGGATTTTTGTTCAGAAATTAGAAGTCTGTGGCTATAACTTCCTGTTAGCATGAACTAAACCAAAAACCAAACATAACTGATGGGCACCAAACACTGCCTTTCAGCTATGCTTTCTTCTGACACCAGTAACAGACTTCAAAGGGAATTATTCTCTTAAATATATAATTTAGAAGTGACCCTAAAATGGCCCTTCTTGGAATACTAGAGCAAAACATCAGCCACAGCTGTAAGAAGACTTATCAAATAAAGTTGTAAAAAGCACGAAAAAAAAAAATATATATATATATATATACACATATAATTTAAAAGCTACTGTAGCAAAAATGGAGCTTTCTGTAGTTTTTTAAGCAAGCACTTTAATTTCACTTAAGGAGAAAGTAAGTGCTGAAGCTCACAGTTAGTTTACACTTTTAGAGAACTGGGTGAGTATCACATCGTTGTTATATTCCTAGCCTACTGGAAGTTGAACTTAAATGAAAGATTAAGTGAAGTAAATGAATCAAGGATGCTAAAGTGCCATCCTTTTTTGAGTTTTGGAATTCAAGTGAGATAGCAAATTCTTAGCGTTGAGAAATGACCTTGGAATAAACTAAAAAAATCCATGACATAATGATTCTGAGGAAGCTGTCACAAAGCTCAACATGTGGAGATTTAAAATAACTTAGGATAACATGTTTCTCTATGCCATAACATAAAAATATGTCATATATATACACTCATCAAAATGTACGATTTATGTTTAATATTCACATCTAATTCATTACTGTAGGCAACATGCCCAACTGGCACATACAGACTTGCCAATTATGTTCCCATGATTCTTTTCCAATCATATAACCAGCGCTTACATTTAAATAAGCAACCCATGATAAACCTCACTTTCAATTGGGACCATATAAGTGAGACTTTTCTGGAGGATCATACATTTCTCCTCAATCATGTGACAGGGGCACCTTCCATGCCAAGAAACCATCTCCGGCGGCTGAGGAACTAAGATAAAGAAGCCATTCTCTAAGGTGGCAAGACATAGTTCACGTCCCAAACATCTCTGGTCACGCTTCCAACAGAGAACAGTCTGTACTTAAACCTCATACAAAAAGCCCGCATTCACGTCTTCTCAGCTTGTAACAGTAACACCTGAGGATGGTATAAAGGCAAACAAACCCTTACCTTATGCGAGCTTGGTCTGTTGTGAGACAGTGGCTGTGTGTGGTGCTGGCTGCTGCTGTGAGCTCCTGCCTCTCGGCTGGTGTTTCCCAGCTGGGGTCTCCCTGGTCTAGCAATTGTTAAATTCACCCTCTCTCCACTGGCCTGGAGAAAATACATTATCACCTGTCATTAATGATACTTACCATTTTAAAGATCACAGGCAGGGAAACTGTGTATACATTTCTCAATCACAGTACCAGGCCTCACCCGGCAGCAGGGAGGACAGAAGGAAGTTATAGTTTTTTACGCAGACACACACACATACAGACACACACCCCCATATTTAAATGCTAAATTATTTTAGAGGTTCATGGCTGCCATTTTAAATTTAGGATCCTGCTATCTATCTTAAATATAGATTCATGTGTAGTACATATTAGAACTCATTTTTTCCTTGTTTTTAAAGTACAAGTCTTACTTACCTCATGCTTATCCTTGCTCATGACCACAACCCTCATTTTAATACAGACTGCTTTCAGAAATTGTGGGAAAGCAGAAGTCTTGCCCACGATTAAAGTCAATGTTAAGTAATCATTTTATTTTCAGTTCTTCAATTAAGAAATAACTGATAGGCAATTTTAATAACCTACTACAAATTACCTGCTACTCAAGCATTTTATTCAACTAAATAGCTTTAGATTAGCTCTTCAAAATAACCAAAGCATTCTCCAAGCAGAGTCTAGGGACCTGAATAAGGGGTAATGACCAAGGAAGAGTGTTTAGGAACTTAATACACTGAAGATTCTGCACTTTGGGTCATTAGATTACACTGCTGTGAAGTGCTGAACAGCTCCTTGGGTTTTATTTCAATATATACAGGCATCTTCATTACTGTTTAACACCTTATAACTAAAGTCATCATTTCAACCCACTTGAAAACAGTTTTTAGCAAACCTATTAATGGAAGTAAATTCTTAATCTTTTAAGATGGCTTGAAAGACAAAATTCTGTGACTGTGATGGAAGTGCACAAATTCACAGTGCTAAAAACACGTCAGAGGTTTCATTACAAATCTGAATTTTAATTAAAGAGGCAGAGGCAGGAGGATTATAAGTTTGAGCCCCATCTGGGCAACCTGGCAAGACCCTGTTTCAAAATAAAAAAGAGGGGTTGGGGATGTAGCTCAGTGGTAGGGTATCCCCGAGTTCAAGCCTCAGTATCGCAGAAAACACAAACAAGACATATAAATATAAGATGCTAAATAATAATATTTGCAATTCATTAGAAGCAAGTTCTGTTGCTGGGAGTATAAAACTGGAATGATCTTTTTGGAAGAAAGGTTAGCAAACTGTCTTAAACTGGAAAACAAAGCATGAAAGTCTGCCAGCAGAGGGGTGATTAAGTTATGGTACACGTGTATCACATAGCTACTAAAACTCGTGATGCTGAGTCTGTACTCACTTTCATCTATGGTGCCCACAACATACCGCTGACAAAGAAGAAAATACACAGAATTTACAAGATGAGGACATGTCTGTACTCTCTCCCTTCCTTGCAGACAGGGTCTTGCTCTGTAGTCCAGGCTGGCCTTGAACTCAGAACCCTCCTGCCTCAATCTCCTGACTGAAGATTACAGGTGTGTATCCTGCAGCTAACTGACATGTACTTTTTCTAATCCAAAAATACGAAGACTTAGGGGCTGGGGATTTAGCTCAGCGGCAAAAGCGCCTGCCTGGCAAGCGCAAGGTCGTGAGTTCGGTTCCTGGTACCGGAGAAAAACCAAAAAAAAACAAACAAAAAAAACAAAAATATGAAGACTTTTAATTTTTTTTTTTAAATAATCAAATTCAGGAATTTCAGTTTTCTACTGTTTGGGGAAAATTATACAATAAAATACAATGTAACTACAGAAATCTAAATATAAAATATTATCAGGGAAAATTTAGCTTCTACCTGTACAGCTATATTTTCCACATTTGGGTTAGGAATTCAGTGAGGACTCTATTTGGGAATCTTCTTGCTTCAGAAAGTGCACTGACTCTTCCACTTCAGTCAAATCCCATGAAACACCTAATTTCTTTAAACCTCAAGTCTATAAAATGAGACCAATACCTGAATCTCCTCTCAGTGCAAGAAAAGGAGCTGAGACTTGTGTTTTCACTGTTATGTGATTGTGTTGTAAACACATTTTATCAACCTGATGCTCAGTTATATTAATGACTGATTTTTTGGTAGCATTTGTTGCGCCCACCTCACGAGAAACACCTTTCAGCTTCACTATTATCCCTGCAGGGTACGCCCGTCATTAGCCACCACGGCATGCTGCAGAGCCCACGGATCTGCTCTGCTCAATTTTCCAATTGATCTGTCTTCATGCGCTTCCTGAAAACCTGCCTTCTTTCAGTAACGGCTACCTTCCCTTCACAGACACATTGTAGGACCAATTTTATGATGTGCTTGAAACACTTGAATTCCTTAAAATTTTTTTGGTTTATTTTTCCGGTACCGGGAATCAAACTCACGACGTTGTGCTTGCCAGGCAGGTGCTGTGCCACTGAGCTAAGTCCCCAGCCCCAAATTCTTTAAATTTTTGTAAACATGGAGTCCCTTTAGGTTGCCAAGGTTCGTCTTGAATTCCTGGACTCAAGCAATTCTCCCACTTGTTTCTAGAGCAGCTAGGACTATGGGTACCTGGCTGAGACAAGTTATTCACAAAAAGTATAATTTTTTCTCCTACTCATGTGACTCCTGAAGGGGAGTTATGACTCTTGGTTACTAACAATTCTGGTAACCACAGCTCCTCTGAGCCTAACTTTCCCCTTTGTTGAAGGTGGACATTGCCATCTGTTATATCTGCCTTACTAGGTGGAGCCCAGGGATCAAATAAGAAATAGATGTGAAACAGTAGATCCTGCACTGTATTCAAGGGATATAGTTTTTAGGAAAAAAAAAAAAATCATCAAAACAAGAAAGTTATTGCATGGATTTTGAAGGATTTAGGTAGCTATGTCTGATTTTCCAGTGAATGTCAAATGTCCGATGAATTCTGACGTTATGTGCCAATAATAACAAGCATGGCTGGGTGGAAGTTACAGCTCAGCCTTTGGCATTTACCTGGATGATCTGGGCGGCCAGCTCCGGTGTCCCATGCTTCAGGTCATGCCCATTGATGGCCAGCACCCTGTCGTTGCTGCACAGCCTGCCATCCTGAGCTGCCAGCCCCCCTTCCAGCAGGTCAAGGATAAAAACCCCCGGCTCATCTGTCCTTCGGACTAACTTAATGCCAAGCTGTTCACCAGAGTCCCGTTTATGAAGAACCACGTGGAAAACCTCTTCCCGTGGAGAGCCGCCATCAGAATGGTTGTGTGCTCGACTGCCAAAGCGCCTCTCTCGCAGCACAGTGAGATGCAGCGTGGTGCAGGGCTGGGAAAGGACAGCTCTGGCATAGTTATGAGACACATTGCTGATATCATAGTTGTTGACCTACAAAACAAATTATGATTCATATGTGACAATCTTTTTTTTTCCTAATTTGTAGAAATGTCTGTATGACACTTCCAATGGAAATCAGCATTGGAAATGCTATATAATCATTATTTACAAAGAAAATCTCTCTAAAGACATTTGAAAATAAAGAGTGTCTAAAATTAACTTACAATGAGTAGAATCAGGTACAGAATAGTAATTAGAATCATAGGTTTTGAAGATAGCCTTGAATTAGAATCCCCAGTTCTGCCATTTACTAACTGATAACCTCAGGCAGAACTTGTTTTGAGTGTTTCCTCATCTGCAAAATGTGTTTACCATCTACTTCACAGGATCAGCATGAGAACGAATAAACTACCTCGGCACAGAGCTACTGCTAATGAAAGACTACAGAAATGGAAATTCTGCTCAATCACAAATTTGCTTTTCCAATCAAATATGCTTTAAGCCAGAGAAAATAAACTGTTTTAAGAAAAGTGGCACATTCCAAGTATACGACTTCATTTTAGATGAATTACTTTTACTTTAAAATAAATGATTTTATTCTATGTCTTTAGCATACAGTATACATATATATATTCTACACTAAGCATAATTCAATGCTCATGTATCATTTGCTTATTACACTTTATAATCTTGAAATAATTATAGTAACTGATCCTTGGTTATGTCAAATTGCTTTGAAAATACATCCAGCTTCAATTATTTATCTAGTACATGAGCATATTTTTATATTTTATTTATTTTAAGACAAGAGTCTCACTGTATTGTTCGGTCTGGCCTGAACTCACTATACAGCCCAGGCTGGCCTCAAACTCACAGCAATCCTCCTGCCTCAGCCTCCCAAGTGCTGGGATTACACGTGTGCACCATCACACCCGGCATGAGCATATTTTTAGCAGTTAGCACAATTCAAATTCTTCTCTGACCTGGTCAGAGATGAGCCACATTCTCTGAATTATCTGTAATGGTACACGCTTTGGGTTAGGTGTTGCTGATCATCTGAAATCCTTCAATCTTTCATATAAATTCACAGTAAGCAAGGGCCCCCATTTTTTATTTATCTGAGACTGACAGTTTTATCTCTGGGGTTTTGTTTGTTTTGTGGGACTGACGATTTTGAACATGACTAATGAGTTTTGTTGATTTTGATCCGATGTTTTAGAATTCAATCAAATTCATAGCTGTCACACATGAATTTGCTGCATCCCCAAGTCTGCAACATCTATGCATTTAGTAGCTATCCAAGTCCTTGTGAGAAATGTTGATCAGCACAGGGTCAAGACCAGAACTTCCAGGTAGTTTTCAGGAAACCAGGCTGACATGGACTCAAAGTCAAATCAATGTTCCAGCCATTTAGCTAAAAGCTACCTACCTTTAGATTCAATTTTTCCACTTTATATTTGGGCATACCACAAAAAACTTTATAAAATACCTGGCTAAAATCCTGTAATATTCTCCAGCCATGTGCAAACACAGCCTCACATTTTCTTTGTGAAGTAGGTAGAGAAATCTACAACTGGAAAGAAGATTCATCCTCCATAGATGCATAGTTGCTAACGAAATTCAGAGAAAGTAGAGACCGAATAAAATACCATTTATTGATTTTGTAAAATAGCATTAGTGTGATAAACTCCATCACATTTTTGGGCCAAAGGTTTTTTTTTTTTTTTTTTAACCAATGCGATCAACACTTATGATTTTCCTTCAAAGTGAAAATGTCTGCATTTTTTATAATTCTGATCAAACTAAAGACATTCATTTTTAGTAATGTTCTAAAAGTTGTAGTATGTTTAATAATGCTATTGAATGGTACAAAAACAACATTTTTTCCTCCAAAACTGCTCAAATGGCTGCGTATAAATCTTTTTCTAAAGAATACCAAAAGACCCTATGGGCATATGGTCTTCCTTTGAAAAGAGTCTATTTAACAAAACAACATATATACATGTCTATATCTGCATTTAAATGTGAGGAAAGCAAAGCTACCCATTGTTAATTACACAAAGTTTGTTAGAACCACAGCTTAGCTCTCTGGTCTGCAAGTGAACCATCTCACTGCTGCTTGGGGGTTTCCAAATTGGCTCCCTGTGTTATTTATCCAGCGTATACAAAGTGGAAGTAGTAAAATCTGCCAAACAAGCATCTTTCCAAATGTTTTATTTTTGAATGACTGTAAATACTTCTCTGCAATGTAGGTGACTTTATTTACTGGCTCCAACACACCAGTTAAAAGCCAACCAGGAGTCAGGGCCCACAACAGCAGGGACTCCATGAGTCCATTAACCAGGTGATGTGCTCACACTAGTTACCGGGATGCATCATTAAACCAGATTAAGGACTGTCCTTATTGGAGTTATTAGTATACATGTCTCCACAAGCAATAGGAATGCACTGGAATGTCTATAATGCAGATTTTATAACTTGGGGTGGCACACAAAAATATGGCTGATTATTTTGGATAATTATAATTTTATCTGAGGCATAAAGATTCAGTTATATTACTAAGTCTTCAAAACAAAAGGGTAAAAAGCTCACTGATGAAATATATTTGTAAACAAAAATAAAAACTAATCTCAATGATATTTTAAAAAATATAAAAGAAAATAAACCCTTTGTTTTTACCCTTTAACTTTAGAAAAAAAGAATGAGCAATGTATAAAAATGGTACTACTTAATGCTGGCATACTGCCAGTAGCAACAAACAAAAGGCTAAAATAAGCGAACACTGAAATTATGGCAAGAAAGGGTAGATTACAAAAAAGATAAAACACTATGTAGGCTGCAGAAAGGGTTCTCTTGCTCTCCTGGCCTTGACCACCGCAGTGTGGAGAGGTCTGGGAGGGAAAGAAACCAGCTGTAAGATTCCCCTGCTTCATGCAAAATGGGGCAGGAGCTAGGAAATAAGGAGGGCAGGTAAGGTGTCCTCAAAGTTGTGCCAGCCTCACAAGGCCAGGATATAGAAATCTGATTTTACATAAACCGATTCAGCCATGCTTTCTGTATGCTTCTATTTCCCCTTAATATCTGACAATACAACACAACACAACAAAAATACTGCTTCAAAGTTTGTTCTGTCTCAGTTATGCCAGAGGCAACGAAGGAAGGATTTGGGGCTTACGTGCTAATGTGGAAATAAAATACCATGACTGGAACTCAAAAATGGTATGGGAGCCAAACCCACTGGAAAGGTCAATCCTAGCTGCCCTGGTGGCCGGTCTCCCACCTCACTCCAAAGACTTCAAGAACTAAAACCTCTAATCGGTCCTTGTTTTGCTTTAATAAAGGAGACGGCTATTCCCATTGGGATGTCACAACCAAATCCACTCTTCCACTGGTTCATCAAGTATTTCTTGAGCACTTATTAAATGTTATGAGAAATTTGTATCAAATCCATACAAGCACAGTTGTTTTAATCACCAGAAAAAGACTGCACATTTGGGTAAAACATTTAAACAATTTACTATAATTGATTGGGTGCCCAAAGCAATAAATGCTATCAGTAATTCCACAAGTAATTAAGTATTGAGGAGGGACCCCTGTGGGCACGAATGAATCAACAAAGCCTTCCCGATGAACGTAGACCAAGTTGGAACACAAGACAAGGACAGACTGAAATGTGGGAATGAGCCGTCCACAGGGAAGCAAGAGGAATCTGTGTCTGACTCCCCACCAGACTGCACATTCCATGGAGACAAGACAGTATTTTGCTTTTAAATGCATCCTTAGCAATAGTGCAGTGCCTAGCACACCATAAAAAATGAACTAACTGGTATGGCAAACACCAAAGAAAGTGCTAAGATTAACACGGGTTGCAGAACGGACCACAAAGCACAGGGACCTTGACTATTAGTCCGAAGCCACCACTGCTGGAGCCAAATCTTTGCAAGGAAAGCAGGTGACAGCTATATTAACTTGGCAGTGCTCATGTCAGGTTTTAAGGAGGAGAGCTGGGAGGCAGGAAGACTTCATGAAGGATTCTACTAAATCAGATACGATATAATGCAGGCCTAGACTAGAAAGGTAACAGGGAACACGGAAGTAAAAGTAGTATCAGCAGATCATAGCAAAAATTAACAAACAAATTCAGAGAGGGAAGCGTCCTCATGCTTGAGTTGCTAGAAAACCTTTTTTCTTGTTCTTGACTATTTCTTTTCTCTCAAACAAGTTACCCATTTTTACAGCTTCAACTATTGTCACACGGATTCAAATGTCCAGGCCAGTCTTCACATAAACTGCAGTCCTATGCAGCAGAATCCTTACCACCTCCACCCTCTCAGTCTGAACGAGTCCTCTAATGAAACACCTTGTCTCACACAACTTTTTTTGTTATATCTGTTTCTTCTGGAAAGAGCAGGTTACTGAAAGTGCAGTGTTAGCATGCTGACGGTGCACTGGGGAGTCGCTGGGAGATGGCTGTTAGGGTTTCTGTCTCTATCTCACATTCTCTAAACAAGGTCTGGGATCTAGCGCAGTGGCAGAGTGCTTGTCCAGCATGTGCAGGGCCCCTGTTCAATCCCAGCACCACAGAGGCAAAAAACTATCAGTAGCTAGTGCTGCATGGTTCTGCTTTTCTTTGAGATTTTAGTAACCTAGTGGTATACAGAAGGATGCATCAGACATGAAGCTAAGAAATGGATATGAAAACTAAGGGTGGAATAAACCCATGGAAGAAATTTCAGCAGAAGTAAATGTCACTTGGAATAGCCAGTCATGGAGGACAAGCCAGGAATTGTCTTGCAAGCCCAGAGAGCCCAGCACTGTTTCCAGTCACAGGGGGGATTGCAAAGTAAGGTGGGAAGTCTGCGTTCCAGGAATATGGTGAAATGGGAGAAATCACAGGTAAACTCTATTCTTCTCTGCATATAAAAACATCAAAACTAAATTTTATATAACTCAGGTTCCATAATATTTCACATTGCTCAACTTTAAAATTATAAGAACAAAGTGCAAGTTAACAGTCATAATAATTAAAATCAATACCTGAAGAATCTGGTCTCCAGCAAGGAGTCTCCCATCTCTGGCGATGATCCCATCCCTGTAGACTTCCTGGATGACAATGTTAATGAGCGGGGTTTCATTGCCACCCACGATGCTAATTCCTAACTGAATGTATGGATTAGATCTGTGGATTTCAATGGTGGTAATTTCTCCTTCTGGTAAACTAAGTGGCTGTTGTGTAGCTGCCAAGTTAAAAAATGGGAGAGGAAGAACAGAGAGAGAAACAAGGTTTTACACTCTGAGTCTCTCTGGGTAAGTAAGACATCTCATGTTACCATGCAGATGATTCACAACTAAACAATACCACTGGGTAAGAAGTAGAATGACAAAAACAAAACTCCATTAAAATTATCTAGCTTGGCATGCTCGCTCCGGGCATGCTGTAATTCTAACACCTGGTAGGCTGAGGCAGGAGGATCATGAGTTTAAAGCCAGGCTGGGCTATATAATAAGTTCATGGCCAGCCCAGATTATCTACTGAGACCCTGTCTTGGGAAAAAAAGATGCCAAAGGTCGTCTGTAAGTAACTAATAATGACCACAACGGTCAGATCGGTAGGATGACTCAGTGACCTGACGAACAGTAACAGAAAGTTATCTTGTTCTTGCCCCATACGATAAGAGAAAGTCTGAACCCCAAACAAGTACGAACAGTGCTGTACAGCAGAATGCAAACTTCGGTATATAAACTCCCAAGTGCTGAGAAGGTAGCCGTCTCAAGCCCCTAAGAAGAGGTGGATCTGGAACTAAGTCTCGGGAGATTAAAAGGGTCACACCCATCGCAATACAAATTTGAATATGTTAAAGGAATTGATAGTCTGTAAGAGAAAATGATTTCTGAAAAATACCTAGGGCCAACTACCAACATACAGCCAAGATCTACAACTACAGGTTCTGTTTGTTTCCCAGCAGGGTGGGCAGACAGAACAGTGGCTGCTCGAGTATGACGTTATACAGCCTGCATTTCCAGTCACCAGCTGGCTGTATGAACTTGATCATTTCATCTCAAGCTTCAGCTTTCTTATGTTTTTAAGAAAACCTGTTAAAGTTGTTATAAGCATTTAATTAATTAGTTCACAGAATGTGTTTCTCAGTACAGTATCTGACACAGAATAAGCACTTAACTGGAGCTATTTTTGTTTTGGTTGTTCTTGATGATGTTGATTTTGTACGTTGAGAGTAAAACAAGTTTCTAAGCACATACACATGACTACTGTAGTAAGAAGCACGTGAATGACTAGTGATTCACGGACTTCAGTAGAAAAGGGGTGAGGATGGATCACCTTCCTCCACAGTAAGACCTTATGTTTTATTTCTAAAATGCAACTGCTAGACTGTGTACAGAAGAGGGTGACATGGTACAGTATCTCAATAACGCAGTTTTTAAAAAGAGGACAAAGGTACGTGCTGGAGGACTACAGAGAAGGAGGGCAACAGGAGAGAGAGGAGGTATACAAGAAGGGCGGGGACTGCACATACCATCGGCTCCGGCGCTCTCCTCGAAGGCAGGGTTGTCCAGGCCAGGCTCCTCGGGACAGACCGGGAGACACGCTAATGTTGAGTTCCGCTCGGCGGGCACTGTGCCTGTCCCCATCCCAGAACAGTCTGTTTCAGGGGACAAAGTACCTGGAGGATCGATTACAGTGGATCCACTTTCATTTTCACACTCCGTCTGAGTTTTACTAGATTTCCTTTTCTCCAGGGCAACTCTCCGATGAGAGGCTCCGGGACATCTATAAAGAGTATCAAGTAGTTTCCGGATGATTTGAAAAGGAAAAAAAGGAGGGTGTGAATCAGTAGCTTATATCTCAAAACAAGAATAGCAATGGCTTCTATGCAAAAAAACCTAGAAGTACTCACAAGCAGTATCAGCTCTTACCCTAATCTCTACTACGTTCTTACCATTCTACACAGCAAATTAAAAAAAGCCATTGGCATGTACAGTGATTTGGTAAATACCTCAAAGAATACTTCAGCAAAAAACAATACTCAGGTTTACAATAGTCACCAGAAGACACCCCAACAGCTCTTTCTGTACTGCAAGAATGATTCCGAGAATCGCATTATGTCACCCTTTTTACAGGTGAAATATCTCAAGCAAAGGAGTGGCAATTAGCAGTCTTCTTCCACTATGAACGGTGCATCTTTAGACCTGGAGTAGCTACAAGGCCGCCTTACTCTCTCTGTGGCCACATTACACATTCATTCATTAGTGGGTCTCAGTACATCTGAAGCTTTACAACTTCTAGTAAGGCACAGTAAGGGGCCAAATAAGTTTTGACAGACACAGCAGACAAAAATATATCCCTTACACTGTAAAATCAGAATTGCACTAGTGGCATTATAGATATACTGTGAGTTGAAGAATAAATTCCAAATATACTTGGAAAACATAAGCACAAAGAACTGTTAACATGCTCACTTTATTTATTTAAGTGAACAGGAAGAGCACATGAGTAGTTGTTTTAATTAATAACCAACGAAACGTTTAAATAAAAGCTTTACATAACAGATACTAGGAGCGATGTTCAGGTGCCAGCTCCTTGTCCTTGACTGGAAAAAGTGACCCATACTGTCCAGTTTAAAGAGCCAGAGGAAGACACAGGATTGGCGAAGAAGAGCTAGCTCTGCCCTTGGGAGGGGCGGGTGGCCCTAGCCCAGAGGCTGTTACAGCCCTTCATTAAATGACGATATTTTAAAAAACCCAACACTTCTAACAACATGAAACACAGAATTTGACTGAATTAAAACTGAAAGCTCCCCAACTATAAAAATAGGATCCCCCACAAGAACTAAACCTTTAAATCTTATATTTCAAGTTGTAAAAAGGATTGCTCAAAATTCTTCCCGTTATTTTCTTCGTCACGTCTTGTTTCTGTGCACCTCATTAAGAAGGGGGACAACTGACTTTCTGCATTGTTGTGCAGCACTACAGCACATGTTCTGGCAAAGGTCTGACAAATATTTTTGAAAATTAGGTAATGGAAAATGTTATTTTTGTCAACTTCATTAGAAATCCATTTTTACAGTATTTTACTCCAAAAACAAAAACAATTTTCAGACAAAAACTAGACCATAAAAATATTGGGACTGAAAAGATAAAGATCTCATTTCTAAAACATATCATACACAAATATCCATGTGGGCAAAAACTAGTCTTCAGTGGAAAAAAAAAAATAAGATCAGGAATAGGAAATGAAAAGGAAATATAAACACAATGTGAACATCTGGGAATCAGCTAACAGCCCTAACCTCTTCCACCCTCCCTGACTAAATAAGTGCAGGCCTATCTTAGAGTTATTAAACATATAAATTAACTTTGAAGTTGATAGGTGAAGAAACAAGAAAACTTATATCCCCAACAGATCAGCAGACTGCTAACAAGAGTGGGAAACTGCCAACATGAATGGGAAAGACATTAAAAATGACACCATGTAAAAATGATCTCATCCAGCATGCCAGCGGAAAGGCTATAGATAGAACCTTTGGGCTACCTGATAGACTAAGATAGAACTACGAGGAGAAAGAAGAAGATTCTGCGAGAAAGACTTCATTTGAACTTGACCAAGGGAGATATGAGTATCAACAAAGAAAAAGTGGTCAATAAGATAACTTCCAAAGAAGGAACAAATAAGATACAGACTAAGAAGTATCAGTTTGATTCGGCAAATAGAAGGTGCTGTACTTAGAATCTGAAATTCCCCCCAAACGTCCATGTGTTAAAGACTTGATCTTCAGATCTTCTACTAGAAGGTGGTGGAACCTTTTAAGAGGTGGCATCTGGTGGGAGGAAGTTAGGTCATTGGGCCATGCTCATGAAGGGGATACTGGGACCCTAGATCCTTCCCATTTCTTTGTTTCTTGGCCATGAACTGAACAGGCCTCTGCCACAGGTTCCTGCCATGACATACTGTGTCAACTTCAGGCCCAAAGCAACAGGGACAAGCAAGCATGGGCCAAAACCTCTGAAACCATGAGCCAAAATAAACCTTTCCTCCTTTATGGTATTTGTCACAGTAACGGAACGCTGATTCACACAGGTCACAGTAGCCCGGGAAAGAGCATTTTCAGTCGATGGGGCAAAAGCCTAGACTATAATAAAAACAACTGTGTCAACATAACATATACATTCTACAAAAACTAAACACTAAAATTATGACTTAAAGGAAAAAGAGCGTCAGAACAGCACATTCAAAATCTGAGCATGTGGTAATGGGGAATGGTTGCTAATGGGCACTGTTTTATTCAGTGGAAATGTTCTAAATTAGATTGTGATGATGGTTATAAAATTGTTACTATACTAAAAACCATTAAACTGTACACTTTAAATATGTGAGTTTTACAATATGTAACATTTATAATAATGAAGTTACTAAAAAGAACTGTTAGGAATGAGTAGATCAGGGCAGGCTTGGACAGAGGAAAGGGCATGATCACCAGAGAGCTCAGAGCCATGATCTTTCAAGTTTGTAATTCCTGGAACTGAGAGAAAGGAAAACAAACAAACAAACAAACACCAAAACCCAGTGTTTGTGGGGTGCACATTCTAAGCCAGTCACTGTGAAATGACTTCTATATACATCATGTCACTGTATCTTCATAACCAATCTGTTAAGTTGTTTTTACAAGTGGGAAACTCTCAGGCTTCACTAACAAGGCCAATACACGTAACTATTTAATTGTACAGCCCAAATTCATACAAACTCTGGTCAGATTTCAAAGGTCTGTGGCCTTTTCTTTTTTACCATACTAAATTCACTGATGTGGAATTTTTTTTCCTTAAGCCTTACAAAAACATAAATTGGATTTGTTCTACAGACTTGTTCCTACAAACATAATCATAGAATGTTAGAGCTGCGAGGGCTTAGTGATCATTAAATGAACAAACCAAACCAAAATCCCATGCATCGTTGCAAATGGAACACTGAGCAATAACACAAGCTGTAACCGGTACTGGAAGAGGCAACTTGGTTTATTTAAGCAGGTAACTCAGTGTAGCAGAAGAGAACAGAAATGCATGTAATATTTAATTAGATCAGGGTAGGCATGTGTGCAGACCATGAGTGCAGCTCTGAGGCTGCCAAAGGCTGAGGCTGCACTTCCCCAGGGGGGGGATGTTTTTAAACTTTTCTTAAAATAAAGCCGAAGGGCTCATGCAGTAGGCAAAGATCAAATTGAAGAATTTTTTCTTTCCTGCTGAAGGCGATGTATCTATTTCCATTATTTTAGCCTCCTTTATGGGAAAAATGTACATATGAACTAAGATGAGTTTTGCTATATCAACATCACTTCCCTGATAACAACTGTATCTGACCTAATTCATATCAGGACACGTATGGTATAACAGAACACACTATATCATACAAAATCAATAAAAATGCACACTGAAGATAGCTGAGCAGCCTCTCCTCCACATAAGCAATGTAAAGACCAGAAAAAAAATCACAACTATTTCTAAACTCTAGCAATTAGTCAAAGGATTACAGCAGTTCAAAGTAAACATTTAACCTCCTAGCAGTTTACCCCAGCTTCACCCGGGCAGCACGTTTGTTTACAACCTGACTAACCCAAGCACTGCTTGGGCAGATGTTATCTCAACCAGTTGATTCTTATATAGAACAAATTTGATAAAATTGTTGTTTTTACATTTCCTATTATATTATCTTATAAAAATTAGTAAAAAAAATACAATTTTTGTTCATCCTGTATATAATTAACAGGACTGGTAAGTGCTTAAGAAAAGTGGCAGGTTCTCAGGAAGAACAGAGGCTGTGGCGTTTGGACGTACCCCGCTGCTATCATAACTGCTCTGAGCCACAGCAGACTGGAAACGCAGGCATGGAAAGCCAGTATCTTGTGGCCACTAGAGAAGCTGAGTAAAGCACCTTCAAACCCCACATGTTCAGAGAACTGTCAGCACTCTCAACCTGTCTGTTGGTTCCCTGGAACCAGTACCTTCACGGGGTGTCTGACTTATAGCCTGCTGTAAGTCAGCATGTTCACATGGGGACATTTGTTGAAGAAACATACAAACAAACAAAAAAACAGAGAGTTGTTTAAGATTATAGCTGCCTGAGGGAGACAAAGTTTGAGAACAGCTAGGGAATGGAATGTCCACAAAGGTTCGTGCAAATCCAGGGCTGTGTGCACACACAGGGAAGACCTAGGAAGGCACTGAGCTCTGCCTGGTCGATGCTGAAGCTCCGTGATGTGGGGAGATGAAGGCCAAAGCAGAGTGGTCTATGCTCTGAGTGCTGATGGTGTGGTGCGCCCCCTCGTACACACTCAGCCCTTCAGGAAGGCTGTGAGATTCACCGGTTCCAGGGATTAAAGGAATCCTCTGTTCAATCATTAGCTTAGCATTGAACTAAAATTTTATAGAATTACTTCAAAAAGTCACTGAGCAAACAATAATGACAAAGCAAAAATAAATGCTAAAGAGGGAAAGAAGAAAATTTCCAGAGTTGTTAAGATCTGTTATCTAAAGTTTCCAAACACAACATTAACAGACGCTCAAAAAACCAAGTGTGGTCCACACCCAGGAAAAAAGTAATCACCAGACTGTCCCTGAAAAGGCGGACATTGATTTATCAGATAACAACTCAAGTCAACAATTTTGAGTATGCTCAAGATCTAAAGCAAAATATAAGACTACATTTCACCGAAAAGAAAGTATCAATAAAGAAATACAAGCAATAACAGAGAACTGAATAGAAATTTAGTGTGAAAAGTA